GGGGCACCCCCAGCCCCAATGTGAACTTGTTGATGGGCCTCTGGCAGTTCAAATCTGGGTACCAGTATACCATGGGGTCTGAGCAGCTGTGGGGAAGGGGGGCCCTGGAGTCAGAGAGGGCCCAGCCCCCTGGCTCATCCACGGCTCTGTTTTTTGGTCCCAGCCCTGTCCCCTCTACCCTTTCTCATGGGCTGCTCTGGCCCCTGCCCAGGTACTCACAAGCACTGTGGGCCCTGGTGCATGACCTGGCAGGTGCCATGGTGGCAGTTGAGGTGGTCAGAAGCATTGCGGGACACGTACAGGATGCTGTTCTTGGACACCACCAGGGGCACGTAGTAGGCACTGAAATTGGCTGGGACACAGCTCCTGCAGAAGGCTGTAGGGGGTGGTGGGTGAGTGACAGCCACTGTGGGTGGTCTGAGGAGTGGGAGCTGAGGTGGGGGGAGGTCACTCACTTGTGCTATTGACTTCCTCCATGGTGGCTTTGCTTGCGAAGGTGCTTGAGGTATTGAAGCAGAGAGTGGCTGGTGGGGAGACAGGGCAGGAAAGGGTTAACTGAACCCCAAAGAGGACAGCTCTGCCCCTTTCTGTGCCAGCATCATTCCCCTGACCTGCCAGGTTGGTTGCCTGGGCAATGTAGGATGGGGGAGACACTGTGGGGAGGGCAAATAGATGTCCACGGGCATCTGCTGCTCACCAGCCCCTGGGCCCTTGGGCCCAGGTCCTTGCCATTCAGCCACATGCATAGACAGCCAGCCACATCCATCCATCCATCCATCCATCCATCGAGACACTGTCTCTCTGTTTCTTCCTCTCCCTGTCTCCATCCCTGTGTCTGTCCATTCCAACACTCACCCTTCTCCCTCCTGTCCTTCCATTCCTTGCCATATCCACCCACCCTACCCACTCCTGCCCCCTACTTCCACCCACCCCTCTGTCTCTGCACCCCAGTAGTTCCCCAGCTTCCTGTGTCACTACTTCTTCTTTGACGCCAGAGGGCCTGAGTGACCCCTGAGGTCAAGGTCTTCCCTCTTCTTGCCAAGGGCATGGGGTGAAATCTCCCTCCTCACACAGCCTGACAGAGCCCAGGCCCTTCAACACCTCCCAGCAGAGACTCACTGTTTTGGATGTGGCAGTCCTGGCCCTCAGACTCTGCCATCACCTTCATGGCCATGACCAGCTCCTTGGTGATGTTTCTTAAGCTTGTGTTCAGCTTGGAGTTGATGGGTAGAACCAGGATGAGCTCGTAGTCCACCACAATGCTGCCCTTCCTGTTGGAACATACCCGATGTTTCAGAGGCTGCCCAGTCAGCTAGGGTGGACGTTGCCTCTGAAACACTGGGCTGGACTGGGTTTGTCCAAGCTGCATGTTTATCCACCACCCCTGGGCATTCTGGGTGTCAAAGGCTATGGATGATGCGACTTTCTGAGGCTCCTCCTCAGCTGTGGAGTTGGCCGACTGCTTCCTTGCCTGAGCTCATCCATGCCTGCAATGTGGGGGGTGAAGATTCAGGCTCCTGGCCTGCAGGTGTTTGGCTAACAGGAATCTGATCAGCCAGTTGGCTGGCCAGCCAACCACCCAGCCAGCTAATCAGTTGGCTTGCCAGCCAACCACCCAGCCAGCCAGCCTGCCAATCAAGCAGCTGGCCAATCACCTAGCCAGCCAACTGGCTGTCCAACCAATCAACCAGCTTGCATTCAATCAACCAGGCAGTTGGCCAATCAACCAGCCAGCCAGGAACCAGCGAGCCAGGCAATCAACCAACCAGCTGGCCAGACAATCAACCAGCCAGCCAGTCAACCATTTGGAGACAGGTTGTATGATCTGGAGATTCCCCACATCATCCTTCGCCACTTCTCTGACCCCAAGATGTGCCCATGCATTGCTGTTACGGTGACAGCCATGATATTCACCTCAGGCCAAGGATCTTCATGCCCTGGTTGCCTTGGATGTCTTGGTAGATCGGGCCATCTGGAAGGCAGAGGCAGAGGGTGACACCAGGCAGAGTGGGGTGGGGCCCTGCAGTAAGGGAGTGGTTGACATCAGGGTAATAGTGGTTATGCTGGGGGAGGTTGTAGTGGGGGCAGTGGCCATGGTCGTGGGCTCTGTGGTAGTGAGAGTAGCTGTGGTTGTGGGCTGTGTAGTGGATGTGGTGGGAGTGGTCATGTGCTCTATGGGGGTCACATCCATGGTTGTGGGCCCTGTGGTGCTGGTGGTAGCTGTGGCCATGGGCTCTGTGCTGGTGGCTGTGGCCATGGGCTCTGTCATGGTGGTGCTAGCCATTGTTGTGGGCCCTGGGGTGGAGCCGGGCACTGTGGTTATGGGCTTCAGGGTAGAGCTGGGTGTCTTGGTCTTCGTCTCTGTGCTGCTTCTGGTGGCTGTCATCATGGCACCTGTCATGGTGGTAGTGACCACTTTCATAGGCTCAGCCATAGTGGTGATAGCTGTGGTCATGGGCTTCATGGGATTGGTGACAATTGCAATTGTGGGGTCTGCGGTGCTGTCATTGCCTGCGGTCATGATATCTGTAGGGGTGGCAATAGCTGTGGTCATTGGCTCTGTAGTGGTGGTTGTGGGTCTTGTAGCGGTGGTGGTGTTCGTGATCATGGGCACTGTGGTGGTGGTCATGGACCCTAGGGTTGAGCCAGGTGCTCTGGTGGTGGCCTTCAGGGTGGAGCTGGGAGCCATTGTTGAGGGCTCTGGGGTAGAGCTGGGTGCTGTGGTTGTTGACCCTGGGGTGATGCCTGGAGCCATGGTTGTGAGTTCTGGGGTGGAGCTGCGAACTGTGGTCATAGGTCCTGGGGCTGAGCCAGGAGCTGTAGTTATGGGCCCCAGGGTGGACATGGGAGTTGTGGTTGAGGGCCCTTGGGTGGAGCTGGATGCCCTGGTCATGGAGCCAGAGGTGGATCCAGGGGTGTTGGTTATTGACTCTGTGGTGGTGGCAGTGCCCATAGTCACAGGTACCATGGTACCATGGTGCTGGTAGCCATTGTCATGGGCCCTAGGGTGGAGCTGGACACTGTGGTTGTGGGCTCTGGGGTGGACCTGGGAGCCATGGTTGAAGGTTCCAGTGTGGTGCCAGGCACCATGGTCGTGGGCTTCATGGTGGAGCTGGGTGCCATGGTTGTGGGCTCTGTGGTGGAGCCAGGCAGCATGGTTGTGGGATCTGTGCTGGTAGCAATGGCTGTGGTGGTGGACACTATGGTTCTGGCACTAGCCATGATCATAGTCGTGGGCTCTGTGGTGGTGGCTATGGCCATTGTCATGGGCTTTGGGGGTGGAGCTGGGCTTTGTGGTCATGGACCCTGTGGTGGAGCTTGGAACCATGGCAGGGCTGAATTGGGAGCTGTAGTCATGGGCCCTGTGGTCAAAATGGGAGCTGTGGTTGAGGGCACTTGGGAAGAGCTAGACACCATGGTAATGAAGCCAGAGGTGGATCCAGGAGTGTTGATCATCAGCAATGTGGTGGTGGCAGTGTCCATAGTTATAGGCACTGTGGTGGTGGTGGTAGCCATTGTCATGGGTCGAGCAGGGTACTGAGGTCGTGGACTCTAAGCTGGAGCCAGGTATTGTGGTTATGGGCTTTGGGGTGGAGACAGGTGGCATGGTTGTTGGCTCTGTGCTGATCGCAATAGCCATGGTAGTGGACACTCTGGTTTTGGCACTAGCCATTGTTGTGGCCTCTAGTGGTGGCAGTGTTCACATTCTGTGGTGGTAGTTGTAGCCATGGTAGTGGGCTCCCTGGTGCTGGTTGTAGCTGCAATCATGGTTCCTGTGGTGGTGGCCATGTTGGTGGGCTCTGTGCTGGTGGTGGTGCCTGTGGTTGTGGGCTCTGCGATATTGGTGGTACCCATGGTTGTGGGCTTCGTGGTGCTGGTGGTGTCCATGGTTGTTGACTGTGCAGAGCTTGTGGTGGTCATGGGGGTGTGCTGTGTGGTTCTGCTGGTGGTCCTGGTCATAGGCTGTATGATGCTAGCTGTGGCCAGGATTGTGGGCTGTTTGCTGCTGGAGGTGATCATGGTCATGGGCTCTGTGGTGCCAGTGGTGGCCATGGTTTGTGGGCTGTGAGGTGCTGGTGGTAGCCATGTTGATGAGCTCTGTGGTATTGGCAGTGGCCATTGTTATGTGCTCTTTGGTGCTGGTGGTGCCTGTTGTTGTGGGCTCAGTGGTGCTTGAGGTGGCCAGTGTTGTAGGCTGTATGGTTCTGGCAGTGGCCCTGGTTGTGGGCTGTGTGGTGCTGGCAGTGGCTGTGTTCATTGACTGTGTGGAGCTTGTGGTGTCTGGAATGGTGGGCTGTGTGGTGCTTGTGGCTGTAGTCATGGGCTCTGTGGTGCTGGCAGAGGCCAAGGTTTTTGAATGTGTGGAGTTCATTGCATCCAATGTGTGGGCTCTGTGGTGCTGGTGGTGGTCATGGTCATGGGCTGTATGATGCTGGCTGTGGCTGGAGTCATGAGCTGTTTGGTGCCTGCAGTGCCCATGGTCATGGGCTCTGTGGTGCTGGTGGTGGCCACAGTCGTGCGCTGTGTGGTGCTGTCAATGGCCATGGTTGTGGGCTGTGAGATGTGGTTGGTGGCCATGGTGGTCGGCTGGGTGGTGCTGGTGGTGGCCATTGTCATGCATTCTGTGGTTTGTGTGGTGGCCATGCCCATGAGCTGTGGGGTGCTGGTTGTGGTTGTGGCCATGGGCTGTGTGGTACTGGCAGTGGCTGTGGTTGCTGACTGTGTGGAACTCGTGGTGGCTATAATGGTGGTCTGTGTGGTACATTTTGTGGCAGTGGTCATGGACTCTATGGTTCTGGAAGTGACCCTGGTCATGGGTTCTGTGCTGCTGGTATGGTCTGTGGTCATCGTCTCTGTGGTGCTAGCACTTGTGCTCATGGGATGTGTGGTGCTGGTGGGGGAAGTGGTTAAGGCCTCTGTGGTGCTGGCAGTGGCTGTGGTTGTGGGCTCTGTGGTGCTCGTGGTGGCCCTGGATGTGGGCTGTGTGGTGCTGGCTGTGACCATGGTTATTGGCTGTGTTGTGCTGCTGGTGGCTGTGGTGGTAGGCTCTGTGATGCTGGCGGTGGTCATGCTCATGTGCTGTGTGGTGCTGGTGCTGCCCATGGTTGTGGGCTGTGTGGTGGTGACAGTGGCTGTAGTCATGGGCTGTGTGGTGGTGGCAGTGGCCAAAGTTGTGGACTGTGTGGTACAGGTGGTGGTCATGGAAATCAACTGTGCTGTGCTGGGGGTAGCTATTGTTGTGGACTCTGTGGTTTGTGTGGTGGTTGTGGTCATGAGCTGTGCGGTGCTGGCTGTGGCTGTGGCCATGGATTGTGTGATGATTGTGGTAACTGTGGTCATTGGCTGTGTGGCGCTGGCACTGGCCATGGTTGTGGGCTGTGTGCTGCTAGCATGGTCCATGGTCATGGGCTCTGTGGTGCTAGCACTAACTGGGCTCATGGGCTGTGTGGTGCTGGGGGTAGCTCTGGTCAAGGCCTCTGTTGGTGCTGGTGATGCCCGTAATCATGGGCTTTGTGTTTCTGGAGGTGGCCGTGGTCATTGTCGTGCTGGTTATGTCCATAGCTGTGGGCTGAGTGGTGCTGGTGGTGGCCATGGTTGTGGGCTGTCTGATGCTGGCCATGGGCATGTTGGTGGGCAGTGTGGTGCTGGCCCTGGGCATGACCGTGGTCATTGTGGTGCTGGCAATAGCTTTGTTTGTGGTTTGGGTGCCTCTGGCAGTGTCTGTGGTCAGGGACTGTGTTTTGCTGATGATGGCATTTGTTGTGGGCTCTGTGGTGCTGATGGTGCCTGTGGTTTGAGGCTCCATTGTGCTGCTGGGTGCCCATGGTCGTTGATTGTGCAAAGCTGGTGGTGGCTGAAGTGGTTTGCTGTGTGGTTTTTGTGGTGGTTGTGGTCATGGGTTGTATGATGCTAGCTGTGGCTGGGGTCATGGGCTGTTTGGTGTGGGTGGTGGCCATGGTTGTGGGCTGTATGGTGGTAGCAGTGGCTGTGGTCATAGGCTGTGTGGTGCTGGCACTGGACGTGGTAGTGTGCTGTGTCATTCTGGTGGTGGCTATTGTTGTGGGCTCTGTGGTTTGTGTGGTGGCCATGGTTGTGAGCTGTGGGGTGCTGGCTGTGGCTGTGGCCATGGCTTGTGTGGTCCTTGTGGTGGCTGTGATTGTTGGCTGTGTGGTGCTGGCAATGG